CCCTTGTCGCAGTCCATGGAAGTCAAATTAGATTACATTAGAGCTCAGTCATTAGAGTTCACAGTGATTAGAATACATTAGAGTTCACAGTCGTTTTTTGCTGAATTAGAGTTGACAGTGATTAGAATCCAAGGGAAAGCCAATTTGTAGCCATAGTAGGCTCCTCGAGGGTCCATTTTCGAAGAAGCTTAAAAGAAAATTGAAGTTGTGGTAAGAATTAGAGTTCACTCGTATTCATAATCACCAAAAAGGATATTACTAAATTAGAGGGAAAGCCAGGTATACATCGTTGACTATCCAAATCCACTCTACAATCTTTAATTATTATATTATCTTCGCATCTTTCTCAATGCCCAGTCTAATTTTTAATATTGATCCTGCATGCATCTCTTTGTCTAATTGATATGAATAATTAGTAATATTTAAGACAAACAAAAGCTAAACTATAAGGAGTTGTTGAAGTGGGGAATCTACAACCACTGATTATGCCCACAGAAATGGCCCATTAGTATGTTTAGACTGAAATTGCAATTCGGGTTGATAAGGAAAGTAATCAAAAACATGATTTATGAGATTTCTAATCAACTGGGTGTAAATATGAGTAGCAATTACTCTTTCTTGATTTGTTTCTCTTTCCAATTTTATAAACACTTTAGATGAGTTGTACATTTCTAAATTAATAAAAGTTGGCTAGGCCATTCACATTTCCCAAAAATTATTCGTCTCTCTAACTCTCAATTCTAGTATTCGTGGAAAATAGTTTTCAATTATTAGGATGGTCTATCCATAGTGAACATAAAATCACGAAATATGGGTCTTGTGCCGTGTGATTGTATGATTGATATGATTTAAAAGTTGAGGTTATTGTACCGGAACACATTGTTGGGAATAGATTATCAACGATGGATCATGCGTCAACGTGTTAAAAAATTAGACCAAAGTCTGTCTGTAACAGAGTCACTCATGTATAAATATAAACATGAATGGAAGTTTCGATGATAAAAAGGAAGCTGAAGAAGAGTTTTAGTTGAGATGTTTGAGTGCCTCTTGACGAATGCAAGAGAGGTTCGTCGTGATCTCGTTGCAGAGTCTACCTTCCACAAGCCCCACTGGCAACCACAGCTTTGGCTTTACATCCACCATGTACCAAAGTCTCGTACTACTCCTCCTGCTTCTTGTCGGCTTTGTTTCGCCTCCTATTTCTCCTCCTTTTTCTCCTTTTCTCTCAACCTCAACCTGCAAACAAAAATAACAACTAATATTTATCATGTTTAACAATTTAGAATTTAATTTAATAATATAAGAAAAAGGCATTTTAGAGGCATTTTAGCAGTCAAAGTGTACTTGTTGAATAGACCATTTTCCTCGAAAGATGTCAAAGTCTCCTTGGACCATCTGGAAATGGATTTCGCGCTTCTGAGTCTTCATTAGAGCACCAGCAGAGGCATAGGAGGAAGAGGGAATGGTTTGGAGTTGGAGTTGTTTCTCGTAGCAATCCAGGGTTCCCTTGGCATTGAATTTGAGTCCAAGACCCAAGTTTTGCTCCCCAACCTATTCTATTTTACAAATCAATAATGATTAGATAGAAGCAAAATCAGGAAAAAGAACCAAGTTTTTAATTTAATTTAACCTGAAAGAGGCGAGCATAGCCGGGGGATCTGTCAAGCAAGCGGCTGAGGGCGAGGCCGGGAATGAAATCGGAGAGACGCTCGTAGTCAGTCAAGACTTCCCAAACGGCGCCGAGAGGGGCGTGGATTCCCACGGAAGACACGATTCTGCGGGTGTTGTTTGGCAGCTTCTTTGTCTCGATTGTTACGCCACCCTCGTTACTATTACTATTACTTGTTGTACTTGTTGTACTTGTTGTTGTATCATCAGTAATATCATCACTCTCACTACTGTCATCAGCCTCATCCTCAGACTCAGCCTCGATGGTAGTTGTTGAGGTGGATGTTAATAATATGGTACTGGCATCATCACCTTCATCATCGATCTGATCATTACCATAATCATAGTCGTAGTCATAACTGAAATTGGGGTCAGAATCAGAGGGAGGGAGAGAGCATAATCGCAAAAATTTGGGTAATTGGGGAGAATAAGCAGATGGCGAAGCAGATGGAGATGCAGATGGGGGTTTGGGTTTAGGGTAATTAGCGTACGAGCGTCTAGTTATAATAGTCGTACATGATGTCCTCCGACTCCAACTCCAAGTCAAAGGCACCACCTGAAGATGATGAAGATGAAGAAGATGATGATGATGATGATGAAGAAAGGAGACGGATATCATGGAGGTTTTTAAGTTTTTAACTCTCGTCTCTTTGGCTCACCACTTTCCTTCCAACCATTCACCCCAACCCCCACCGCTTAACACCAAACCCCCATTCTCCAATATGCTCAATTCTCATCCACTCACTCCCCCACCCCTCACCCCCCGGTGTGTGAGAGAGATCCTGGGCATTTTTGTCCTTTCATCCCATTAAACAACCCTTTTTTAATAAAAAAAATGTATATTTATTAATATATATTCCCTTGTTCTCTTTGAAGATTGAAGATAATCCTCCTCTGTCAATAAGTCTAAATTGCAATTCAAAACAAACAAACACGCCATTCTTTTAATTTTAAGCAGAGACGAAGACGAAGAAGAAGCGAGAATGGCTTGTGCAGCATCCACATTGATGCAAGTATTCCATTCTCACAAATGCAATCATACTTTCCACCAGCTGACAAATGCAAATGCTTCTTCAAGCTTATCACCAAAATCATGTTATTATTCATCCTCCAAACGCCATTATTCCCCTCTCCGCCTTTCTTCCCCTTTTACTATGCCTCTATTCCCAGCTACAACGGCTACATTGCAAATGCGTTTCCGCCGCCGCTCCCTCATCACCTCCATGGCTAAGCAGGTAGCTCTTCAAAATTAAAATAACAACCACCCTTCCCTTTCCTTTCCTTTTGTTGTTGTTGTCGTTGCTGCTGCTTCCCAAACACTTTTTATGTGCAGTGTGCAAACTGATTCCTCTGTCCTTCCAGGATGTACAAGAGTTACAATCCACAGTCACCACCAAGTGCTTTTTCGACATTGAGATTGGCGGCGAACCTGTTGGCCGCATTGTACTCGGCTTGTTTGGAGATGTCGTCCCCAAGACCGCCGAAAACTTTCGCGCTTTATGCACAGGCAGCCAACATTCCCCCTACTTTTTTACTATACTATATATGTATGAATATTATTGTTATTATTATTCATCTACTCAAATTAAGACTTTAAACAATGCATTGCAGGAGATAAGGGATATGGTTACAAAGGATGCTCTTTCCACCACATCATCAAAGATTTCATGATCCAAGGAGGAGACTTCATTGAAGGAAATGTACTATAGAAATCTCTCTCTCATGACCCAAGGAGGAGACTTCATTGAAGGATTGTGAATGCGAATGTCATTCGTTACTCATTATGTATTTACTGCCTGCTGCAGGGCACTGGAGGAGTAAGCATTTACGGTTCTAGGTTCGAAGATGAGAATTTAGATTGTACGTAGAGCAACTCCTTTGACTTAGTTTTATTAATATGAACTCCTCATCTCTCCCAAGTTCTGATTTGGTACTTCCGTATAACAAAAATGTGGATGACATGATTCTTTCTGCAGTGAAGCATGTGGGGCCTGGAGTGTTGAGCATGGCTAACGCGGGTCCTGATACCAATGGCAGCCAGTTCTTCATCTGCACTGTCAAGGTCTTTCTATACCAACTATAACTAACAAAAACAAAAAGGAAACAAAACAAGAAAATAAAAGTTACTCTATCACTATGCATGGTTTCTAATATTGTTAACATGTGTTATCTCTAGACTCCATGGTTGGATAATCGCCACGTCGTGTTTGGACATGTCGTTGACGGGATGGATGTGGTTCGGAAACTTGAAAGCCAGGAAACAAGCAGATCAGATACCCCTCGTTTGCCTTGCAGAATCGTTAATTGCGGAGAGCTGCCGATGGATGCCTGACTTTTCTGTGCTCTGTCTACACATATCATGTATGCAAACACAACCTTGGATTCCACTGTTCTGCTTTATAGGCTCACTTCCGTTTTCATTTTTAAGTATTAAATATTGTTGTTATCACTGCACCTCTTTTCCTTTTGCCTCCGTTGTTATCAAACGGACTTGCGTTTGCGACCTTGTAACATTAGACGAGGAAAATCCCACAACACACCGTGTTGGTGAGCTAGAGATAAGAGGCAAACTTTTTTCTTTTTTTCTTTTTATGGACAACTCATAATGAATATAAAGGCAGCTGCTCTTAACTCAGTACCATGCAGTTAATTTGTTTTAAAATTATTTTGTAGTGCAAATTATGTAAAATGAGATACTACAATACACGCACTTTGTTTCACTCTAAAAATATGGCTTGCAACTTTTGTATTTATCACAATAAACATATTGAGTTTGCATATTTGGAGACACGTGTGTAATCAGGAGTTGCCTATGCAAGGACCACGGCTTCGATAGCAGTGGACTGAATGACTTGTTGTTTGCCCTGTTCAGCTTCTTCACCTTCACTTTCCCATATTTCAGGAAGTGCTTCTTTGATATTGTGGATGCTGCTTAAGGCGTGATCTGCCCCAGCCACCAGTTCTGAGCTTCCAACCTGCCCAATCAACACCAACAGTTCCTTAATAATAAAATCAGTCATTTCTTTAATTCAAATTCAACGTCTCTTGTTTTAGCATCGTTTCTATTCCTATGTTTCTTACAAACACCAGATTCCTTTCTCAATTCTCACGTTTAATCTGGTTTATCAATATACTAATTTTAATACTAATACTTGGATAGCTCTTACAATAACTGTGTGAAGTCCTGCTGCCTTTCCGCTGGCAATGTTTCGAGCGCTGTCATCAAAGAAGATCTGAGGAAAGGAAGCAAGAGTTTTTGTTGGTAAAATCATCATCATCCCTACTGCTTATTAAATTTCATAATAGCATTCTATCTTACTGTTGTGTCGGGGTCAATATTGGCAATCTGAATGGCGGCCTTGATTGCCTCCAAAGAGGGTTTGCAAAGGATTTTGGAGTTGGTTGTAGAATTAGCACCAGCAGGGTGAGCCTCAAGGCAATCAAGAGGCTCGTTAGGTGGGTTAAGAGTTTCGAAGCATATGATGCCTTCGAAACAGTCTTCCACTCCCAACCGGTTGAGAACTCGGGTTGCATGGCCTTTGTCAGCGTTGGTGAAGATCTGAAAAGTTAACACCAATTGATATAAAACTATAGCCTCTTAATTAGCAGAACCGCATCCCAAGTCAACTAGCGATTAAAAATTTAATTAGGAACTGATGTTCGAATGGAATGGGAATTTAGCGAGTTTGTTGACATACTATTTTGCACTGTGGCATGGACAATAGGAGATTCCTTAGCACGGGGTCAGGCTTCAGGGCATCATAGGGTAATCTTCCATGGACATAGGCATGAAACTCGTCGTTGTCGAATCCGTAACCAAGTGCCTGAAATGAATGAAAGAGATTTTTGTTTAAATCTAGTATTATTTCTAGAGCTAGGTAGATTTTATTTTATTTTTTTATTTTATTTTTTTGTTACCTTAAGACCGGCCATAGTTGTCCCACACTCCTTGTATAACTGAAGGCACATCCTGGGAACTTCACTTTCTTCAATATGCAAGTGTTGCAGCATGAACTCTACAAAAATCAAAGCTTATATATTGCTATTATTAATCACATTCATGATCAATGATAATAATACTAATAATAAATTAATAATAATAACAATACCTTCAATGTTCTTGCGGCATGCCAAGTTGAGACCTGAGCTCAACGGGTAGAGAGTATCATCCATATCTGCGTAATTAAAACATGGATGATCAACAGACTTCAATTAACATTTTATATATATATATATATATATATATTTATTTATTTATTTTGTTCA